GTTGCTAAATTTTCATCTCTCTGGCTTCAAAAATATGCCTAATGACTCTACGTATTTATCATTTAAAAACATTTAACACAATACGTTTACTTAAATTTTCATGGTTAGATTAGAGAAAAATATTTAACAGAGTTAACAGGTTTAATATTCTAGTTTGCTACAAGAAAAAGGTAGTAATTCGTCAGTAAGTTTCATCATTTGGTAAAAACAATAAGTAATCAGTATCAGGAACAAGGAACGCCGTTTTTTTACTTAGTAAAAAAGTACGTGAAGATTTCTCAATTTTATTGTAAAAAATTGCTAGAATTTTTATTTGCAAAATCTGCTATTTGAATTCATTAGCTGCCCAGCCGTTATGGTGACTAGTGACGTAGATTGCCATTCCGATGGGCCTAGGTTCGAATCCCGGAGAAGGCATGGATCTTTGTAAGTGTATTGAGTTTGTGCGGTATGAGAGCACTCAGAATACCAAACGAGCTGAAACGTCCTCTCGAGAGGTTGGGGTAGAGGTTGAAGAGATCCTCGGACTCCCTCCATATGGAGTTCTCTCTCAAAATTGGGGGTGGGGACTGCATAGTTAGTGCTACAGGACTGTACCTGCACGACCACTGGTGAAATTCTGGTGTCCCATCCTCTTCTGTCTGTATTCGTACTTGTTTGAATTCCTTAATAAAGGTCGAATGGCCGCTTAATTTAGGACTTAAAAGGACAAACCATTCTTGTTTACGCATGGACAATATCGAAGGGTCCGCAAATGGTTTAATGTAAAATAAAATAATTGCGATCCATTTTTTTTCATTATTGTGAAAGTTAAAATAAATAGCAATAAATAAACTGGAAGCAATTTTTAAGTCACGAATAAAATAAAACAAACTGAGTTCTTTTTTTACAGATATCAGACCGAAGAAAAAAGTGCAGACAAAATTGGGTTGAATATATATTATTGAATATTATAAAATCTGACTTTATTTAGTCACCAGAATATAGTACTTCACCTGAGTTCCCTCTGTGTAATAAAATTTATCAAACAAATCAATGAAACGTTAGGAAAAATTTGACAAAAGTCCATAGTGACAAAAAGATAAAGATTTAACACCTTTAAAACAGTCAAACAAAAATATTTGAAAATACTGTCATTGCGATAACATCCAAGAGAAAGGACGATAGAGTGCGTACTTCTTATTACATTTCTTTAGACTGCAAAATCGGAGAGCCACACGCCATTAATGAACTTATTCTACAAGCTGTAAATGAAGTAATACGCGCCGTGCTGCATAAATCAGTTTTGATGTTAGAAGAATTCTACTCAGAAATAATACAGTACAAAGAAGGACTAACGAAATGGCTTAGTGCGTCGAAAATTCTTTATGTTTGTACTTAAAGCATCTGAAATCTCTATACAGTTTGAGGAATCTACTTTGGAAGGAAACGAAGCATTACTTTTAGCTTATGTGAGATTTGCAGAATAAGAAAAACTTTGCAATAATTGTTATTTATCAATTGTTTGGAAACTGATACGAAAGGCGAAGGAATACCGTTGTTGTTGTGACTTATCTCACTTTTCTGACAGCAACATCAGAACAAGCCCATGAAATTCATCATGGCAAACAGTGCAAGACTCGGCCTATCATTGGCTAAGAACCATGCAGCTGACAGTACGATTTCGCTCAGTTCCGCCCCCAATTTTGATGGAGAACACCTCGTGGGATGGGTTCGAGGGTATCCCACCCCTCTTCTTCTACCACCAACTTCTCGATAAGGCTGTCGGCTCGCCGCATATTTAGTGCCTCCATTCCGCACAGACACTAAACATTTACAAACACCCATGTCTTCTCCGGGATTCGAACCAGGATCCTTCGGTACGGCAGTCAGAGTCACTAACCACTATCCCGGTTGGGCGAAGAAACAATATTTAATACTTTAAAAAGATTTTTCAATGTAGAAACCATATCCTTGAGTGATATCCTCTCCATTGCTTCCGACGGTGCACCGGCAATGGCAGGAAGACACCGAGGCTTTCTGGCATACCTAAAGCAAGCTATCCGAAATGTATTATCTGTACATTTAGTTGCCAAAAATCTTGGTGAACGCTTACAAGGCTTACTAGTTCATGTCATTAAAACAGTTAATAAAATCAAAAGGAAGGCATTAAATGAGAGATATTTTATTCAACTTTGTTTGGAATATGATGAAGATTAGTTGATTAGTTTACTACTTAACACGGAAGTTCGCTGGTTATCTAAAAGTGCACGTATGGATCGATTTTATGCACTCTTTAATTCACTGTTGCAATTCCTAGAAATAAAAGATAATGACTTACTGCTCAGTTTAATTAACTAAAAAATGACATAGCTTATATGACTGATTTATTTACCAATTTGTTGATGTAAGGTTATCAATTAAACTCAATCAAACCCAAATAATATTATCTGCATTTATTGCAAACCGTTTCGTATGCAAACAAAACTTGGGGAGAGAAGAGACCTTTCAGATTCCAAATCCTCCAAAATTGCAAAAAATACGAGGTCAAAATTTGCTTGCTTATTGTCAACACTTAACCGGCTCTTCATTCTGACCTCAAAGATTTGAAAGCATTCCTCACTTGGTTATTCCCAACTGAGTGTTGAACCCTTTTGCACGCACAGCCACAAACTCAGATGAATCCATACTAGATAATACACGCTAAATTTATTGAATTATTTACAAATGGAGGTGCTAAAACCAATATTTGAACAAGGAATTCCGCAAATTTTGGTTACAAAAACAGAAACAAATTTTATATCCTGTATTACGCGTTACTGTAGAGAAGTCGTTAATTGCTTTGCTTTCCCGTGATTAGCTATTTAGTAGAACGTGCATTTATTATGAGCCTTATCAGGAAACGGAGACATAACGAATGTTACTCACAAATATAGAGCCGAATATAAATAATCTCATATTACCCCAATCAGGCTCACCCATAACATTACGAAAAAACGTACTTTTGTATTTTAAAACAAAGGTCGTAATTTCAATAAATATTGCTTTTAATATCAAAATCTCTCATTTATATTGTTTTTACGTCACCATTTCCATTCAATACATCAAGGTTAAATTTGTAGTTTTTTCATTACGCACTTACATAGAGTTATTTCATTTAGAGTTTCATGGTCAGGTTTTTGCTCTAAGAAGTGATGCACATGCATAACCACTGTTTTACATTTTCATGTATTCAGTTCTTGTTTTATTTTTTGAACTTTTTCTTTTCTCTTATACCTTAAAATATTAACATCTAACTCATCCAGAAATTTAGTAAATTTTTTGCTATTTTGTATTATTTCTAATAAATTTATTGTACCTTTTTAATGCGATGTTTAGTTCATTTATTAATCCTTTTTGTTTGTAAATATATATATATATATATATTGATTGACTGATATATTGCCAGATGGTTCTAAAATAATCCTGCATCATATTTAATGGATGAACTGCATGTAAACAAGATATATATTTGTATGAGTCGCATTAAAATTTTTCTGGAGTAAATATTATTAAATTTAATATTATAAAATTTAAAACTATGTTTCACATTTACGTATTCGAAGCAATATTTTCGGGGAATATAGTAAACTTAAAAGCGTGAGCTCCAAGCGGATCACGAATCCAGGACTTTAACATCTGCAGTAGACCTCGTAGCTTCTAGCCAGTTTTCCCTAATACTGCTAGAATTTTAAGTGTTACGCATTTTTAATGTTGCCTATCCTCTTTCAGTGTTACTGGAAAATTCTCTCTCTTGAGATGAAAGCACTCCATACACTTAAGTTCGTAGATGAATAAAAAAATTACCGAAGCATGTGAATTTCTATCTTTAATTATCATATGATTAACATGATTAATGCAAATTTCCCTAATTAATATTTATGCGCGTGTTATCTCCTTTAAAACAATCCAAATTTTTATTTTATTCATACTACAAATGTACGATTCTTACTTCTTGTAAAAGTTTATCTTTTTTTCTTTCTTAAAACAGTACCTTTTAGTCGAGGAAAAGTATTATTTGCTGTAAGAAATTCTCGAATTTTCCCGATAAGAAAACCTTGACCGAAGAATTTCTGAATAATTCAGAACATCTTTACGCCATTTCTTCGGTATTGCAGTACAGTTATAATATTACACATACTTGACGTCCCGTTGGAGCCTCACAAAGAGTAGACCCTTAGTAACAAACCTTTGATTCTCCGAATTATACAGTAGCCATTAGAAGGTAACAAACCAATCGCAACCGGATGTATTCAAAGCCTTGAACATCCAAAAATGGCGATATTCAGGATGTGGTGACAATAGGCGAAACAAGGGAGCTGTCCCTGAACAAGGTCATTTAAGTACAAATTATTACCCAGATGACCATTGTGTTTTTTTGCTTTATTTCTTTAATAATTTCTTCTATTTCAATGTAAAGTAAATCAAAGCTGCAAATGTGCGCATAAGGAATGCTATGACACAAAAAATAATTTTTAAACCTCGCAAAAAGAAAAGTTGTTTTCCTGTTTGCAAATTCGGATAACATATACTTTCAACTTTCGATATAAATAGAAATTTGTCATAAAAGAGTCAAATAAGTCAACCGGAACGTACTACTCTTTCGCTTACATGTGCAAAGCACGTAGTTGCTCCTTTGCCGTTTTGCGTAAGCAGATAGGAGGGCTTTGCTACTAATACATATGTCAGATTTGCACTAGAAGAACATCAGCTCAAAAAATACTTGCCCACCTTTCTGCTTTATTGTTTCAGTTTGTAAAATGAGGTTAATCTGAACGATTTTAGCAAAATGAGTGGTTTAATTGCTTTTTATGTGCATTCCAGGTACACTTTATCACGATATCCATATGAACGATTAAATACAATCATTACGTCCTGGATTATTTCGCAGAGAATTCAAATTTGTAAATACTTACATGTTCAAAAGAAATATTTTATTGTGTTGGTTGTTGACACCGTTATGATGATATTTTTCTTTTTAGGTCTTGTTAGGCTTAGCTTCTGCCACTTCTCAACATCATCCGGATCTGCATGCTGGTAAGTGGAATTGAATATTTAATTGTTGTAAGCAAATACTAAAGGTTTAACAAAAATTTGCGTTCATTAGATAACAATGAAATTTTATTATGTAGGTGACCCGATATCAATAAACCTCTTCAGGCTTTATTCTAGATTCAGATTCCAACATAGGCCCTATTTACGGACACATTAAGCTTCTTACGCTTAAAAAAGGAATGAAAGGACAATATTACATTGATGTTAGAATTTTTCAAACTCTAAATAAGATTTGAAGAATGAATCAAAATTTTATTTTAGCTTAGAGTTAAACTAATGTGATATTACGCACGAAAAATCCAAGCAAAATTTTTCTGAAATGTAACAGAAGCTTTCTATTGAGTTTCGCCTTCTGAGTAATGCAGTTAGTTTTTGAGATAAATGTCTCTGGTAATGAACATAAATGGGTCAAGCGAATCGTATCATCCCCTTCAATCACTCATTTAATTCTCAAAGTAGCAAATTTTAGAAGCTATACTGTTCAGCATATGCCAACGAACTTGCTCGGTTAACATTAAGCATAGATTTTTTTCTATGAAATAACCTATGGTTGTTTAGTAGGGCAACAATGTACTGTTTAGGATTTATGATGTTATGATTCTGGAAATAAATATTTTGATGCTAAAATAATAAAAAATAATGCTTATATTCAGGCTTTAAAATTAAAGTATTTATTGAGGTGAATTAAATTTGAGCAAAAAAAAAATAACGCTTTAGCTTTTAAATTTCAGGTTTCTAAGTTTTAAACAATTAAATGTTATGATTGAAAATTTAATTTGTTAACTTTTTAAAAAAACCTGCTTATCAAATTAAGTTACTTTTGAAAGAATTCCTCAGAATTAGATTTTCATTTCAAACAAAGTATACATTAAAAAGATATCAGAATTTACAAACCAGCAGCATTTGTTTGGTACACCAGCTGTTGAAATTATATTTCGAGAATAAGCTCTTAAGCATAACTGTTTCTTGCCAGTATTTTGTTACCTTATAATTTCAAATAGTGAAATCCTATTTGAAATTTAAAATAATTAAATCAAGCCATTTTGGTAATGTAACATCTACAATCTCACTGAAATATTCACATGTAATTCCTTAATGAATTTACATCGAAATTATAAGGGTTAGATCTTGCAAGACCTACTAATTACTTTAAAAGTTAAAAAGAGATGAAACACTTGAAATGTTTTAAATACGAAATAAGACATGCTATACTATAGAGAAAAAGACATCCAAACAATAAGATTGTTGAATAAATGAGAACTAAACATTCATAGAAGTTTGAGTAACACTAACTAATACAAAATAAATATTTATTTAGAAGATGTTTTATGTGAGTTTTAAAAACATATTGTGAAATAAAGTAGGAAACACTGTGCTTTCAGTCCAGAAGCTGAACGAATATTAAATTAGCTACGACTTTTCTCAAATCATCAAAATTTGTGATGGTTTTATACTCAAATAATTATAGATGGGAAAAGAAAAACTTCTCAAGATACTGTGCAATCACAGAAACGGAATTCAGTCCTCAGAAACTTTAATTTTATGTTAATAATACATCAGTTTTAGTATAGTGTATTGATAATTAAATTTACTAAAATTTTATCACATTTGCTGTATCTTCGTTGAGACATTTTGGAAACTCCCCTGGAGTATGAGTTATGTGAATTTTCACCTATACTATCAAGCAGCTGTTAAATTAAACAGCTGTTATTGCAGAAACTAATAATGTTACAATAAATCTATCCATTTGTTTAGTTTACATGTCATTCTATAATATTTGTGGATCTTGACAAGTTTAGAAATTTAAAATAGTGATAACAGAGGTAACGATGCTTAGAATCGAAAGTTCAAGTCTTTCTTTCGAACAATCCGTTTCAAAATGTTAATCATTTATCCATTTAATAAGAATATCCGTTCTCAGAATATGCTACTGAAACATATTAAAGTACTATTTGTAATCTTACTTGCGGAGTATTTTTATGCTGACCCTTTACAATTAATAAATACAAAAGAGCTATTATGAAATGTTTGTTTCGACATCGAAAAAAGGTCATCGTCAGCCATATGCGCGTTTTGCAACTGCTCAGTACGCCACTATGAACTTCGATCATTCTGCCAGTTCCAGAGGACGGTAACATTCCGAGAGGCCATTCTTGTGTGTCTAATACATTCTTCAACCGGCGGAAAAGAAATAACAAGGGAAGGCCACAAAAGGAAAGGCGGAGGGCTGCTGACTTAGAGAACTGTTGCCTTATGAGGCGGCTTCATTTTTCTTTAGGGCTCATCTCACCTGTCTAGGGCGAAGGGTTGAGCCCTACGGATTCTTCATTTTCTTCCTTCCTTCCTTTCTTTCTTTTTTTTTTTTTTTTAAGTAACATTGTCAAACTCTCTTATGCACTTTCCTTTACCCGCAGGTGCTGCAGATAATAAACGGCTATATTTATCTCTAGGAAAATATCTCTTTAAATAACAGATTAAAAAATATATGTTTTCAAATTTGTTATCAGATACGTGTGATAGACCAGTTTTATCAAAATATGACTCTTCTAATTCATATATAAATAATATTGTAAAATGTCACTTCTTAAAACACCCTTTGCTAAGTTATCACGGTCGGCAACAGCTAATTTGAACACACTGCAAGAGATAAAATTCAAGAATATTTACATTCATTCATTAAATTGCAAACAGAATAACTTTAAAATAAAACAGTTAGAAGTCTGAGGTAAAAGCAAATACTTCTAAAATGAAACTACCTGATAAGAGGAAATTTATGGTTTAGAAGGCTTTCTTTTTTTGAGTTAATTTTATCTTCTTAACGAATTGCTTACTCTAATTATAATACTCCCAAAACCGTGGTCTTTAAGCTTAGCTTCTAATAATAACAATATTGAGTCTGAATCAAACAGAACTCCGCAAGCAAGCATCGCAGTACGTCGTGCTCTTGTTAACTTCCTGATCTTCATAACTTTAATTATATACATTGCATTTCCTGAAGAAACGAATTTTGAAGAAATAAGGAAGGACAGAACATGTCTAACTGTCAGCAAAATAAAAATAAACTTTATATAATCTTTTGTTTCATAATTACCTTGAAGATTTTTGTAATTACGTATTTCATTAAAACTTTGAGAAAGCAAACGAAAATACCCAAAATTCCAAATACTTACTAGTAGTAATAGTAGTAGATAAATACAATATTTATAACCATTTGCAAACATCTTTGCTATATATTAAAGTCACCGGATATCCAAGATTGCGCGAGCAGTCCCGCTACAAGGAATGTTCAGGAAAATGTCCTGCATTCTGTAATTCTGTTCAGAAAATGTCCTGCATTCTGTAACTAATCTCGGATTTTGTAAACTTAAATGGACTCGAAATTTGTTAATCAGAAATTAAAAAAAACGAATTGGGAAATTTTCTGGATGTATCTTCCAACTGCGTATTGTAGTTCGAAATTAGTCAATGAAATTAAATTACCTGAGGAATTTTAAATGGATTACATTTTGAATATATGTAGAATGCAAACACGGGGAGGAGAGCTTAAGTTCTGAAAGCAAGTATTTTGACGAAGAAAAATTACCTAAAGTTAATAAAGTGGTGTCTGTAATTGAATTTTTATCTTACACGCATGCATGCATACACACACACACACGCGCGCGCATGCCCATTATGATATATAATAATTTCTGAAAAAGTATAAACTGTTCAGATAAGAATATTTTTTACATTTTATGCAATTCCTGCCTTATACGTTTTGAAAGTAGAGGTTTTTGGAAGATTAAAGGATAGAAGGTTATACAGTACAATGGCTCGGAAATTACAAATATAGGAAAAATTAAGCCCAAACGAGACTTCAGTGAAAACAAAAGACTTAAAAAGAATGTGATTGAAAGAGAAATGACTTCTCAATTTTAACGAACCCGGCAACTCTCTGACAAAGTACCTTGGAATACAATGATGTTATAAATCACTTCTAATACAAAAGGTAAGAGTTGACGAAGTCTGCACGACATCATGTGCTATTGGCCTTGTCGCGAAAGTAAAAATGAAAATGTTTTCCTTCAGAAATCACAGTGAGTGTTTTAATTCTATAAATGCACTTAATACGATATATCTCGTAATTTAGAAAAAAGTAGAAAAATAATGAGGGAAAAGCCCCTGTCGCCTAAGTGACAAGCTTAAGAATAAACGTAAAGAATGAAATAAGATGTATTCTTGTTAACTTGACAAGGCATAACAATTTAATCTAAGATATTCGCTTCTGAAGTTTCAAGTAAAATTATCCGTACTTATATTTTCTGAAATTTCAGTGCTCTGCTAAAGGAAAATTAATGGAAAATAAGATATCAGATTATATTATCACAGTAAAAGAATTTACTTCGATAAGTATGTTTTATTAGGTAGCGAAATTCTGATACACAGTATTTAAAAAATATCAGTAGCAATACTGAATTAGTTCTTAGTAGAGAAGTAAGAAGTAAGAAAAAAACTTCATTTTTAACTGTGAACGTATGTTCCTCTTGTCGAAGTGTTTTGTTTCCCTTCCCTTTGGAATATCTTTCGAGGAACATTAAAGGTTATTTTACGTAGGGGTAGCAGAAAATTATACGATAATTAGCATCATTAGAATAGTAGATATCCCTTGTGTGTCTGATTGTAAAAAACAAATATTATTCCTGAATAATTTGAAAGATATATGCTTCAGAATATGCTTGAAAATAGATATGCATTGTACATTATAATAAATTGCTTATTATAATGTACAATGTCTTCACCTGTAATATACTTAAAATGTGGTATATGAGATTAATATTACAGTGATATGCAAAACTCAACCAGAATATTAGTTTGAAATTTAAATTGATAAAACAGTCGATGCCTAATCACTAAGTAAATGTAGCGCCACTGAGTAAGCTTTATTTTCCTGGTTCTGGATACTGATTTTGAACCTCATTCTCGAACTAGGGAGACGCAACTGG